TTTTTAAAAAATGGTTTCTTTATCCATCCTTTCCCCAACACAAGAGCAAAGAAAACACATTCCAACTTGGATATCATGACTCACATAGAAGGCAACATGCAGGAAACCACACTACTCCTATCAGCATCCTTAGGCTCACAGCAAACATTTCACTTTGGGCAGTCTTCTCCTGTTCTCTTATCTCACCAGGCCACGCAGCCACAAAAGACAGACCCTGCCCCACCTCTTGGGCAGGCAAGGTCCAAGGTGCCACATCAGTTCTGCTCCTGCATCCATGGAGACAAATTTGGACCTGCTCACTATCAGGTTCCTCTGCTAAACATCATTCCAGTGCAAGAAGAGATCAATAAAATCCAGACAAGGATAAAAGAATTTCAGAAGTTGGAATTTTTCTTGTCACAAGTTATCCCCTGAAGAACAAAAAGGGACCATTTTATTTATTGTAGTATTTTAATGACTTGAGTTTAGGAAAAAAGCAGAAGTAAGAAAAGTAAAATAAACAAAAACACAGTTTAAAGAATATTCTCTCTATTCTCTGTATATTCTCTATATATTCCTCTCTACACTCAATCACATATGATTCTATACAAATTGTGAGTTTATAGCAATCCTCAAGGAAGAAGAATAAAGGATCACAGTTACGAACAAGCAGCTCCTCTGCAAAAAGCTGAATTTTATCTACCAAGTCCTGTAATTTAAACATCCTTTTTTTGGTACCCAAAGAGTTTTCCAAAGGCTCCAGTTCCAGAAGTAACTATATAACTCCTGTTAAAAGAACAAGTTCCTAACTCTTGCTCTATCAAAGCAAACACTGTGAATCCACGGCTGAAACCAGTGGTCATGATTTGCAATGGCAAAAGCACATCACGTGGGAGTGCCCTGATCCCAAAGACGTTGAAGTTACTGATAACCATTTCCTTGACTTTACTGGCTCTTAGATCAGAGCTTTAAAAAAAACAGATAGTGGTTCATGCACTTACTGAGAAAAGAATCTACAGAACTGATGGAAAAAAAATATTTTTTTTTTAAATTTTTCTATATAAGGAGCATGGAATCTTCCTGCGAAGGGAAATTCTAAAACCAGGACCAAAATAAATCCCACCAAAGTGGGATGCCAAGTAGCAGCAGCATAGGACTGATGTGAAATAGCCAACAAGCAAGACCTTAAGCTGTGATTTGAAGAGGCACATACTACATTATCTGAGTTTGTTCATGTACTATCAATATTTTTACACCAATGACATTTTGTTGTTGTTTTTTAGCATAAAGCACCTTGCATGCAAACTGTCTTCAGGAAATCTAACAGTTGACCAATATCCTGTAATTATCATACCTTGTTCAGAGATAAAGGAACAAGTTCAGAGATAAAGCAAGGCGCCAACAGCCTTGATCAGCAACACAGAGCAGGCCAATGGGAATGCTGAAAACAGAAGCCCACATTCCAGCAACTCCCACAAATATCCCCAAACCAGCCCATGAGGCCACTTGCTCTCACAAGGACTGCTAAGAGATCGTATCAACACTGGCATATTTCGAGTTCGAGAACAGTTCCTGTGGAGAAGCCCCACATTTAACACTTGGTACCACCATATTTCAAAAATATGTAACAGATGTCTGTGTATGGTGTTGACAAGTGCTGACTGTTTAACAGCAACCAAAATTGTGAACACTGACCCATCTCTGGGAATGCCATAACCCTGCAGGGAGAAGCTGCACAGATCTGATGTGTGACATGACACTCACAAGTCCCCGAGAGAAAAATGGGTGCAACAGAACATTCCAGGAGATAACCAAGTTGTTTTAAATTACAGAGTTTGAATCTGTTATTGTCAACTAAACAAAGAACAAAAATTAACAAAAAAATAATCAGGCAACAGTGAAGCACATGGTTTCAGCTTTGCTCCCTTTATATAGAGAAAGATACAAGGCAAAGTCAGTGCCTATCAGATCACTCCGTTGATCAATCTCTTTTATTTATATCTGCTTAGCATCCCTCTAATTAATCCTCTAAATGAAGTACTAAACCATGCATTCGCCCTAAAGATCTAATACACACCATCTAGTGTAATGTATTATCCTGAATAAAAAGAAGTTATTCAAATGCAAACCACTCTTACTCCACCTAGTATACATTAACAACACAACCATATCCATTGATCACATATTTCAACCACATATATTCATAACTGAGCTACCTTTAATTACCCAAGTCACCCTCCAAACTGAATTTACACCAGGGAAAGCTGCTTTCTGAAAACAAAAGAACTAATAACTGAACTGTATTTGTGCCTATTCTAGGGAACAAGACTTGTCACAGAATTCTCCAGACAGCACTACAACCACTGAAAGCATTTCTCAATTAAAAGCTACTTTGCCTATCAACAGTGGTAGAGGTGCTACTATCACGGTCCAAACTCTTTTAGAAGTTGGTCTGACACAGTAATTTTTCTGCTTTTACTTTTTTCCTACTTGCAAGAAACAACAACCTCCTAAACCTGAAGCCTGTTATGATAACACAACACTCCAGGGGACACAGCTAAAATTGCTTATGCATGGTTGACTTTAGAGTTCCCTGGTTTTTTAAGTGCTTAACCATCAAACCCTCCTTTTCTCAAACAGAACAACTCAAAGCTCACAGTGGTCCCTCCACTGACTGCAATTCACTGTAGATAATAAACCTGAGTTTCAAAGTAAAAAAAAAAAAATCCAAAGTATCACTACTAAGTGTGTGCCTGGCATTTCAGCTCCATTCTCAGTACAACTGCCACTGTGAACAGGCTGAATATCACACAGGTGATGTCACATCACAGAGAACTGAGACTACAATGTAGAAAACCAGCTTTTATGTTGCCACTGTCTGCACAGAATCACACACTGAGGCCAACTTGAGTCTTCAAGATGATTCTGTTCATTTTTGGTTTATTTTCAGTCTTTGTTTAATGCATGTTTGCCTAGCACAGTTACTCAGTTTGTTCTACAGCAAAGCAAACGTTTTGTACTGAACTCATGAAACTAATCACTGACCAGAAGCAACACAGTTCACTTTCTGTAATTAAATCTGCTGGAGTTCTGAATGAACCTGCTGCATGAAGTGTGAAAAGACAAAAATCCTGCACCATGTAACACCTCCAGGTGTTTCTAAGAGTTAGCTGGGAATCAAAAGTTGCTCCTTCAATTACAATAGAGTTGTTTCAGATTAAACTTATCATTAGTAAGACCTGAAATTAGCCCTGTTCCTAAATAAAACCTGACAAGTTACATTCAGGGCACAATTATGACAACACCTATACTCACTTCGAAGGGCTCTCTGGGACAGCCCATACCAGCTGATCTCTTATTTCTAACTTGGCTAAAAATTCTCATTTTACAGCACTTTTCTCCTTGAAAGGCAGTCTCTCCTAGTAGTCTATTACTACATACCCTGGAAGTGGAATTCCATGGTGATGGCAAAGACAGCATCAAGAATTACATGTATCCAATGAATTTCAGCAGTATCAAGTTTCATTATAAACTCCTGATGATACTGAATGGGTGGAAATCACATCAACCAGTAGGTAACTACCAACTTTACATCAGTTTGAGTTAGCAAACTACAGCTTGGTAGTTCAACTTGGTAGGAGTGAATTGGCAGTTCTACAAACAGGACTAAACTCAGGCAGATTTGGGCTATTTTCAGTTTTTGCTCTTGCCAGAGAAGACAAGAAAAACATGCACAGCAGAATGACAGAATATTAAGAGCCCCTCAGGCATTATATCATTGTATTGAGCTACTAACAACTGGTGACTTAGACGGTGGTTTCTGATTAAAAAATTAAGCCACACTGATTCAACAACAGGTGACCACACAGTGAATTACAAATATTTCTATTACTTTTGTTGGCTATTCATGTCATTGATGCACCAAGTTGTCTGTCGTCTCTGCCAGCAGACATCATCATGCATAAGTGTACATAAGTGTAACCCATATTGTACTGAAATCTTGAATATAGCTCAGTTTTGCTGATCCTTTGATTAAATAAAATATAAAATGATAAAAAATATAGAAAAAGGAGATGACACTATCAAGAGATATGGAAGAAACTCTATACAAGAGAAGTGTCTAAAAAGCAAAGAATTCTTTACCTTGAAATAAAGGAGGTAGACGTATAATGAAAGAATACAGTTCTGAAATAGCACAAAGATAGTGGGCAGAGAACAAGCATAATACACTTTATAAGAACCAAACAGTATCAGGCAGTAAAAAGAAGAAAAGGGAAATAGTTATCCCACATATTAACCCGTGGAACTCACTGCTGACAGACTTTCTAAACTGTTCATATTTCTAGAATCTGGAAAAAAATCATTTGGATGAATTAATGGCAAGTGTGTCAGGGGCTATAAAACACACAGGTGTGGACACTCTGGCAGTTGCAAAAATGTAAACTGTAGCTGGAGAATAAAAGGTATTTCAACATTACTCTCTGCTATAGCACATACTCCTGACAACCGAGCACATACAGCTCGAGTGTTGCTGGAATCCAAGCGCAGGAGAGATGGTAACAAAACCAGGAGCAGTAAAGCATGAAGAGAGATCCCGAACGCCAGCCACAGCTCATGCTCAGCACGCTGTGCTTAGACAGACCAAAAGATCTGGCCCAAAGCAAGAACAATTGCGACACGCATTCTTCGTAAGGAAAGTTATTCCCTCCTTCCCCTCTCTCGCATAAACTGCTGGATTCGGATCAGACTACGTGCAGCCACGGCTTCTGGTGGGACACCGAGGCAAAGCGAGGCAGCTCCTTGCAGAGCCCCTGGATGCAGCTCCTGGAAGTCGAGCGTGAGAGGGGAGCAGCTTTGAAATGGCTTCTTACAGAGTCCAAACACGCGGCGCAGGAGCCCCGCGGGGCAGCTCGGACCGCGCTCCCGCAGCCGGGTCAGCCCCAGAGCCCCACGGGCCGCGACCCCTCAGCGCGGCCCCGCCGCCCCCTCCCCGCTGCCCCTGCCCGGCACCCACCGCCCACCTGGCGCGGGGCTGCCCGCCCGGCCTCTCCTCACCGCTCCGTGCCCGGCGTCCCGGCCGGGGGCCCCGCGACGAGGCGCTCTGGGGGAGGGTGAGGGACGAGAGGGCTGAGACCCTGCGCGGCCTCCGGCGCATGGGAGGCGGCGCGCCCTGGGCCAGGAATGCCGGAGCCCCGCCGGACCCGAGCAGGTTCCCGGCGGCTCCGGGGCTCAGGCTCAGCCTCTCCCGCTCCCCTCGCTCCCGCCCGCACACGGCACTGCTCGCGCCCGCTGCCGCCACCTGCCGGCACGAGCCCGGCGTGTCCCAGGCCCTCCCCCGGCGCTCCAGAGTGTGGATGTCGAGCGCGGGAGGGATGTCCAGCGGGGGCCAGAGGGGGGGGCATGGCACCTTCCAGCGGCGCCGGTGCGCGGACGTGCGGGGAGAAGGCGGCGGGGGGCAGTGCGGGGGCTGTCCCACGAATCACCCGCGTCCATACCCCCCCGCGCCCATCCCACCCGTGTCCGCCTCCCCCCCGCGCCCATCCTCGTGCGGTGCGGTGGCATCCAGAGGTGTCAGGGAACGGTGCTCCTGTGGTGGCCGCGCACCCGCAACGCCCCTGCGGGATCGGCTGGACAGGTGGCTCCGCCACAGCAGCGGGAATGCGGGACACTGTACTCTGTCATCTCGCAGTTCCTCCAGCCCTTCGCTGTTGGAGATATTAACGCACCCCACACTACTGCCTTCAGACGCTACAAGAAAACGCGGGAGACAACTGTCATCTCCCTGCCCACTGGATGGATGAAAGACCATCCGCTTCCAGCAAAAATACTGATAGCTAGAACATAATCTGTGTTCCTGACAGTGTTTGCTTAAAAGCCCGAGATTTGAAACCGAGCCAGTGACAGTGGTAACTGACACTGTGGAAAGCAAGCCACAAACAAGCAACTATGAGCAGGATCTTTTCCTGATAACTTTTGAGCTGGCATCTCAGGAAAAAAAAAAAAAAATGGATTTGTGTCTCTGTTCCGGCTTTATATTAAATGTACTGGACCTAAGATCCCTGGGGGCATTTTTATTGAACAGAGCAATAAAGTGTCCGGTATGAGCTCTAAACCTTAGAACCAGACAGTCACTGGCAACAGTTCATTGCAACATTTAGTTTCATGCTTTAAAAACCCCACGAAACTATTATTCTTGTGCTGGAACTGACCCAATCAGGTGAACCCATTTGCTTTAAAGCACAGCAAACCAAGTTGTTCTTTCCTTGGTAATATTTTGGTCTCGATTACACTTGAACCCAGCCAAAACAGTAAAAGATGATGTGCTGACTGTGTTATTCATTGCACCAGTAAAAACTTGTCCATTCCCAAGTCCATGTATAGCAACATGCTCTAAGCAAAAGATCTACTGCAGAAAACTTACTTTTCTCTGTGTGTTCTGCAGGCAACTGCCACAGCACAGCACTCCCAAACAGCTTGAGACACCTTGAAGGCACCATGGCAGATCTTGGCTGCAAAAAGACAGCTGGATACAGCTGGATACATTAACAATTTCTCACAGGCAAAGAAAAGCTGCCTTATAACACTAAGAGGGAGGTTGCTATGCTACCTCCAAGAGATTGAGGTCTCGCTTGTTAGGAAGCAAACGGGTTTGGAAAGCACAGATTTAATTTAGAAAGAATTCTACCAGTCCCTTCTGAGTTATGAGGTGGTTTGGTATCAGATAAGCCTGTACCTGTGCATCAGAAGCTAGACTGAAGCCATTGAAACCTGTTTGGCAGTGGTAGCCAATCTATCAAGAAGCAAATGCTGTTCTACTCTGACCATGATCTAATGAAGTACATACGTAAGTGACTACTTGCTAAGCCAGGTAGCATGTGAGCCAGACTAGCTCTGGCAGGTTACAGTATTTTAGTTCTAATTGCTGCTGCAGAGCACATGTGCTACTTCATCTACTTTGCCAATTACTTGACTCCTGTTTGCTTCATGGACAGTGAGAACTGCAGCCAGAGGGACTGCAGACAAGAGTTTCTTTTCAAGAGCAAAGACCTAAGTACTAAGGTATTAATTACTGTACTTAACTAACATGGGAATGCTCTGCTTGGGAAAGTTCCTGATATTGAAGAAAGATTACTTTAACTGTGCCAGTCTGAAAATTAGCTACCAAACTCCATGAGCCCTCGGGGGAGGAGGAGTTGCTTCTACATTAAGGGCAGCTGAAGATAATTAGCCTGCATCCTGGAGGTCCTGGTTCAGCTGGGCACTAAATAGCATCAGAAGAGTTGGAGCCTTGGTACATTTAGAGAGCCTTGGTACAAAGCAGAGACCACAAGGAGGCCTTTTGAAAAGCCAAGGAACATTCACTTGCTACTGTTTTCCCTTCTCATCTCTTTTGTTGCTTTAATTTCCCTAAACTTCCTTTTGCTTTCTATTTGATTTTTGGAGTGATTGCTCCCTTCCAAGAGCTGATGCAGAATCCTGTCTCTCAGCCCTGCACCTCCTCCTCCCCTTGCTGCTCAGAACAGCATGCACGGTGTTTTCCAGGAGGTTGTCACGCTGCTGGAGGAGCAACCCTTCCCACACCTTATCTGCGCATCACAGCAGCTGACACTCAATTTGTTCTGAACAACTGCAGCACTACGAGTCTCCTCATTATACTGCAACATTATGCAAGGTTTTTCATGGTTTCATGTAACAAATGAGGCTATCTGAGGAAAAAACCCAATATGTGCAGGCTACTGGTTACTTTTTAATAAGGGATGGACGTGTAGAAGAATATGAAATATCATCAAACTTTTAAATGCAGAGTAAAACATAAATTCTCGAAAGAAAACAGCATTCATTAGATTAAATGTAATTGCAGAAACTCACAAAGGAAAAGCCTGGTTAAAGTTTTAGTTTGCTAGCAGAAGATGCCATAGAAAATAACGTGTTTAAAGGAGGTGTCAGCTCACCAAGGAAAAAAAGATCTGAGTAGGACAAGAATCACAGAATCATAATTTCCAACATTTAGGTTGGAAAACGCCTCTAGGACCATTGAATCCAACTGTAAACCCAGCACTGCCACTCCCACCACTGAACAAAATCAAAGTGCCACATCTACAGGTAACCACACAAATCAACTACTCGATCATTTCTTCAGCACATGATGATCCAGCCACATCTTGTCTCCTCTAGTGAGGGCAGGGAAAGCCACCAGCACCACTCACACAGCAAATTGCAAAGATTCTGTTTTGAGATGCAAGAGGTATTGGGGTATTTTTACTTCCAGAGATGAAAGACTTCCTTGCCTGTGAGCCAATTCTTTGGCCAGCTGCCTTAGTGAAAGAGGAGGAATCTACTTCAGTTGGTTTCATTAAAATTCTTTGGGTTACAGCAGCTTGGGAACAAGACATTAGTGCTACTTCAAAAATTCAGACTACAGCACAGCATAAAATGATAAGACTGGCAAACATGAGAGGGTAGAATGGGGGACTGCCCTGCAGGACTGAACTGCTGCTCACTATTATATCACACTAGAAGGGGGAATGAAAGTGTGTGAAAATCTCCATTGGGAGAAGGAAAGAGAGAATCTGAGAAAGAAGATTAGATTGTGGTAGAGTACGAAGCTAGAGTTTCTCTCCCTTGATTGTTTCAGCCACTTATTATTTGTTTCAGTACTTCTCTGTGAGCCACTAATTGTCGCAGTGGGATCTTTCTGCTTCATTTCCCTCTCTTTGTGAGAGCAGGCGTCAACATTGCAAAGAGTTAGAAATCTGCAGCCTGGTATACAGAGGACAATGTCCGATTTGCAACATGTCCAGCACAGGTCAGTGGCATGGTTAAGCCTTGGAAAATGCCTTTTATACAAGCATTAGATTTCAAGATCTTGGGGGGAAAAAAACACACTATTGCAAATCCCAAAAGCAAACAGAAAAGAAAAAACAAAATGGAGACAATGAGTTAGCTCGCTGGCCTGGAAGAAAGACAGGGTAGTTTTACAAGTTCTCTCTTCACCCCTTGATCTGTTCTTTTCAAGCAGGAGTACTTGGTAGAAAGAGTACATGACACAAAAGAAAAAGAATAGTAGCTAGCTCAGTTGCAGCTTAGCTATCCCTGAACAGCAGCAGTGTTTTGTAGTTCACACTCAGAGACTCTGTTCAGAAAAGCCTCTGTTGTACATCCCCATCCATGCCTGTCCCCAGTGCTAGATCAGCTGTTCCTGTCAGATCCTTGCCTGAGAACAGTGGAGATGCATAAAAGACAGAAAGTTTTCCAATTAATATGTCACATTACAGGAAGGGGAGAACATTTTATATTTAATGTACTTTGTATGTGAGGGCACGTTCCAGGGATGGCACATTTCCCTGGGACCTGTAGCTGCCCTGGTATGTGGCACCAACACCTCACTCTTAAGGCAAACTTCACAACAGCACAGCAGGGCAGGTTTACTTTCTACTCAAAGAAAGGAAGAACTTCCCCCTTCCTCCTCCATACTAAATGGTTCTTTCTGGCCACACTGGAGGACTTCTCCATGTCCCAGATAAGCACCAGACAGGTCATGTACCAGTACATAGACCACACTCCTTGCTCTTACTACTGTGCTACAAATAAAAACCTCAAGAGTTTTCTTTATGTGGACATACTCATTACTTTTTCCATCGCCTTACTAATCACCATTAGTAATTTAGAGCTACTATTACAAAGTTTATGTCAAATAACCTGTCTACACGTTTCCTGCTTAAGCCTTCCTTTTAGAACACGTTCACAGCAGAAAATATGAGTGAAAGACAAGCAGAAGGTTACACAGATTTGGGTGAAGCAGAAACATGCATTTAGGAAAACAAGAAAATCATTCAACTGAGTGACATTTTTAGCTTGTGTTTCTTATCTTTACTATCTAAAAGCAAGACTGAAGACCTACAGCATACACACCATGTGCTGTTTTACATTTATTTTCCTTTGTTGTTTCTCAGCTGTATAATTTAAACCTTTCTTTTACTATATCTGTAACTACAACACATTCTAATATTTACAAATGGAGAGTGACTTGGCACAATCTTGGGTGCAGCCTGTCTGCAGTCAGAGAGGCATTCTTCAAACAGACCTGCCCTCTGCAAGAGCTGGGAGATCTGAACTGTTTGTTTAAAACGTAACTTCCTCCAAAAATAGCCATGCATAGCTGTAGATCTATTGAAAACTGTTAAACAACTTGAAATTTAGACTAAAACATTGGCTAAAAGCCTTTTAGTGACCAATCAGATATCCCATGATAACTGGGAGCAAAGGGTGCCCAAGCTGTTCAGAA